GGCATTTGCAACAAAATTTCCAGTTACTTAAGCTAAAAATAAAAGATGTGGTCTTGAGTTTTCAAGACCCCGGGAAATTGCCATGTTTTTGGACTTTTCCGAGTGGAAAAGCGGAGGAATCGAGAAAAGTCGCGGAGGAAAAATGTGGTAGACCCGTCAAAACAAAGCACCTCAGGAGTTATAAAGTATGTGGTAATCAACTTTCCAGAAGGGGCCTCTACTGTGGACTATAATGAATGAATTACTGTAAAATATTTTTAGTAATTATTAACTTTATGTCAGTCTCAAGTTTTTATGAAATTTTACCAATTCCCGTCATTTCGAGATAGCTGAAAATTAATAAAATATTTTTTTCAATTGAAAAAATCGCAAACAAAACTAATTTCAAATTCATTTTCACTACCCTGGAAACGGAGAGTTGACAAAATGTGATTAGAAAAAATCAGACAGTTTTGTGACAAAACAAATAATTAGCAAGTACATTATAGTATATATTGGCGGTTTTGTAATAATAATAACAAGTTCTCTAATAAAGCCAATAAAATGTAAAGACTGTGTAAATAGTTTAATGTCAAATACACAGTATTCGTACAGTCAATTAGTTTTTATTAAAGATCGTTGTTGTTTGAGGTATCCATCTCGAGATGTCGTAGTAATATGCCAAGAAACAGAAAAATTAATAAATTTTTTTAATAATGATGAAAGCAGAACACCTAGGTTACAGAAAAATAAAATTGTTTATCATGTATTAAAAAACTTTCTGAATGCGAACATATTTGAAAATTTGCATTAACATCAATTTGATAATTTGCCTAACAATTGTAATCATTTAATAGAACTTGTAAGGGCTGAATGTGAAAAGTATATCGATGTACGAATAAATCATGAAGTCAAATTATTTAATTCGGTAAAATCTACGAAAAGACAAATATTAAATAAATTAATATTATTTAGAGGATAATAAATATATTTAAATTATTTTGTAGTTTTATTTAATATGACACTAAAATATACTATTTTCTGAATTACAAACTTAAAATTGAATATTTGTCATAAGATGCAATATAATGTTTAATATGTAATAAAAATATTACTTAATCCGGATCTGCTTAAAGATGCGCGCGATCAGATTGCCTTCCACACTCCACTTCCCCGGATTTTGCATTCACTGGTACCCGTGCATTGGAATTAGATACGGCCAGTCTAGGTGGTCTGTGG